AAATCCTTATTTGATTTAGGAGAAAAATTCAGTGTCCCTCCCACACCATCTCCTAAATCAGCAACGAAATAGATTTTAATCTATGGAGATTTGCTAACAAATATATTGCATGTGTTGTTGTTTTCTTAAAGTCCTAACAGTCAGAAAAGTCCAGTGGTTTCATTTAATGAGATAGCTTCTGACTCATGGGAGACATTGCTGAAATGATGTTCAGTAGTGTACATGATGGTTATTTGCATAATTTACCTTATTTAATTCTCTCAAATGTACAATATTCCCTTGAACTGCAGTAATACAGTGGAAGACTGACTAAAATCTATTGTCCATAGTGCACTCCTGTTCTATTTGTGTGGGTTTCTGGTTGAAAAAGAAATGGAAATTCACAAGATCCTTCAGAGCAGATGACTGGTTTTATAGCTTTCTCCCCCCCGCCCCGCCGCCATCCTCGATATCAAATATATAAAGCTTTTTAATGCTTGTTTTCTTTTGTCACCTTTCACAATGCTGTTTGTTTTTTTCTGTTGTGCTCCCTTTTACTTTTGGACATCTGTTACATAATCCTGCTTTTCTCATACTTATTCTCTCTCTGTTTCAGAATTATTCTACATCTCCTTAATACCCTAGATACAAAAACCTTAAGATTCTTTTGTTGGTGCCATATTCCCCCTTCCCTGTCAACAAATTATTCCAAGACAGCTATTCCCAGCCTGGTGCCTTCCAACAGTTGTGCCTGCTGGAAATGATGAGGTCTTTAGTCCAACACATTTGAAGGGAACCAGGTAGGGGCACAATATTGTAGTATTATAATGTTATTTCAAAGATGTCCACTTAATCTGTTGAACTGCAGTATCTTGCTGCAGAGACAATACAATATAGTAATATCTATTTACAAGTTGGCAGAATGTATTTAGTACTGCCTTGAAGTAATTTCAAAACTGCAATTTTGATTACAGAGTAGGGGTAGGCTAGTTTAATTTCATAGCCATCCATAGGGCAGAGTCTGTGACGACACTGAACACATTTCATCACCTTTTCATCCGTGCTACTTCCTGAATTTCTTTCTCTGAAATTCTGAATTATTTTTATTTAAAATTCTTTAATGGGTGAAGTTTCCTCTGTTATGCATCTTAACGCTCTTTTGCAGCCAGATCTGCTGTATGATATCATGTCTCCATGTAATTTCTCATAACTTCCTGATTGTCTTTCAAACTTTTAATCTTTGCATTTTTATACCTTCTATAATGTCATTCCTGCCTATGTTTTTTTTCTTGTGATAGGTGGTGCATTGATCTATATACTACTAAAACTCTCATTTCTATAACATTTAACTGGGCGAAATGGTGTGTCATAGAGCAACAATTTTTGAACCAAGGTACCTCAAGTAGGCTAACTTACAGAATGAGTCCAAATTCTGGGACCCATTATTCCCGTGGGATTTGGGAAATTTGTGGCTGCTTCAGCACTGTACTGTAGCAGTCAGCCCAAGTCACTTGATCATCATGGGCATATTCCATTGGAGTAAGGCAAGGCCTGATGGGTGAGCAGCAATTGGCTGCTTTGGAACCAAGGCAGAAATCTGAAATCTCTTAATGGCAGTTGGTGGTGAGGGAAGGATGAGGGAGCAACTCAGATGCCTTCTGGCAAGGTAGGGCTGGCTGGGGGGTGCTGGTGGGTGGTGGGTGAGCCCTCTTCCTCCCTCGAGGGAGGGGCTCTTGGGGACACACCAGAATGGGGAGCGGGGGTGCAGTTTTCCTGACAGGCCAAGGAGGAGGAGGAGGAGGCGGCAGCTTCACCAGGGCTCTCCTGAGGGTTGTGTGGGGAGGGCAAACAGCACAAGCCTATATTATATGTGGAAATGAGGGGAGGGAGGGGGGAGGAAGGAAGGAAGGAAGATTTCTGATGCTCCCTGCCAGCTTCCCACAAGCAAAGTCAGTGGGGAAGCCAGCAGCAAGTTGCAAGTCACTCACATTTCCACAGCTTTTTTGCCCTTGATCATTCTGTTTCTCTGTTTAGGTAAGGAAATATCTCTGAAATGATGGCCCAAGGGGTCACGGGTTGTCTAGTATAACTCTAAATATAAAAAACCTGTACCATTTAATGGTACCATATGTTATTTCCAAATACGATAAATCAACCTTACTGTGTTTTGGACAGCTCTCCAGCTCATTCAGCTGAGTGGGGCCCTGGACTTCTGCCTTCAAATTCTTCTCTTGTAGCACTTTTGCTCTACTCATTTTATATATCTTTTGCCTCTATTTTTCCTGAATTTCTTTCCTTATGCTTAACTTGTTGTCTTTTTTATGCTGTTCTGCAAACAGCATAGTAAATAAAAAGGCCTTGTCTTCATTCAGAAAGCTTTCTTCTGTATCAGTAATTTATCTAGCACTCCAGTATGCAGTTTAACATGGTTTCAACAACTCAACCACCATACAGAGAAGTTGCTATGCTCCAGCTTTACACATAGGGAAATTTGGTCTGGTCTATGCCTCAACAGTGTGTGGGGAATGGAGTCGCTTCTATATAACAGGGTGAGCAAAAGCATGCTTTTATATATAGTCATGTTTGCTTTCTTTGACATTCATTCCTCACAATATACCACAGACTACCCACTACTTTTTTTTTACCAGCACTCACACTTCTTAAAAAAATTCCATCCATTTCCCCATCTTTAGTAACCAATCTTTCAATGTACACAAATTCATGTACTTGTTCTAATTTTTTCCATTGATGCATAACTTCCAACTGTTCACTCAAAATTCCATGTCAAAACCTTGCTGTTTGATATATTAATTTTCAGATCCTTACTCCTTGTTGCATCACATAAACTAGCTAACATTTGTTGTAAATCACTTGTTTTACAAAAGGCATCAACTGCATACGAAAGTACACAAAAGTTCCCATCCCCTTTCCCATCATTACAAGCATACATTATACATAAATATTTGTATTATATTCAGCCATCAAGCTTTATGAAAAATATTCCATAATTCAATACTATTTATCATAAGTTTTCTCTAAATCAACACACATACAATGAAATTCCTTTTTTGTAGTCAAACATTAACTACCTCTTTAAGAGCAAAAATGGGCTCTCTGCACCTTCTGCCTAACACTGAGCAGCATTTCTCAAATGTTGTTCATTGTTGTTTCTCTCATGTTTTCAATCAAAATACTGTTTAATGTGTTCCCTAGCACACTTAACAAACAATTCTCCTGTAGTTTTTGCATTCATTCTTCCTACCACTCCCTTTATATCAGGAAAAATAATAGCATTTTCCAATGGTCAGGCATAGATGCAGACCAATACATGCACATTAAAGAAGTTGTGCAGCCACTTCATAAGCAGCTTACATCCATATTTTCACATTTTCCAGTTATACCATCTATACCTGCAAGTTTATACTTTTTCAAATATTCTCACAGCATTTAAAACTTTCTTTTTATCATTTTTCTTGGACACTGTTTTTCACCCTTTAACATATCACCCTGTAGATAAGAAGTCTAAAATACTTCTTCCAACATTTTCTCACTTCAGTTTCATCTCAGATCATTTCATCACTTCTTTTTAATTCCATTCATTCTGCTGGACACTCTTTGGCTAGCCCTTTTCTCTTATTTCCAAAATAAATGAAGCTGCACCAAAACTGGTACAATCGAAGTCCAGTTTTACCTGCAGTGTGCTCACGTCATTCTGTGCAAGCCAGGATCTCTAATCTAGAGAATACTTTGCAGGCCAGTATACTGTTCATTGGATCCTATCAAATTTGAAGAGTATGCAGTGTATTTACTGCCATACTCTTATTCTCTTCAAAACAGTCCTAAAATCCACCTTGTTTGTGAAGCCTTTGACTTAGGTTCTTAGTTCTTATGCTCTGCTGCAACTTAACATGTAAGAACACTTCCTTGTAGACTGTTTACACCATTTTAGAATAAACTCCAAACCCCAATATTCCTACAAAAGGATTATTATCTGAGACATTTTTCTTGATCCACACTGATTTGTTGGAAACCAGAGCAAAACTGATCATTTTTTGTGCAACACTGCAGCTTTGCAGAACTAGAGCGTGGTTCACTTTTCCATGGGTGGGAACCTTCCTTCACTCTTCCTCCTGGCTCTGAACTTCAGCTTCCTGATTCTGGAGTCTGTAGACATGGTTTAGTATGTACAGAATCTCTTCCTGTCCCCTGTTCCAGTTGCCATAGCAGCATTCTACCATAGTTATTGGTATTGCCAGCTATAAAAATACTAACATGCTATCCTTTCACTTCTGCAGCTTGCAAGAGGGTTTTACATTTAAGAGAAAAGGCAGCTATGCCTCTGGAAAGATTTTCCTCATAATAACCACTCAGATTTTTAATTTTTTTGACAATTGATCAGAAAAATGTACATGACATGAACTAAAATGTGCATGGGAGTACTAACAATTTATTTAACATTCCTGTTAAATAAATTGTTGAGTGAGGTGCTTCAGGATCTGTGGTAGCTTAGAGGCTGGGCAGTGACTGAATAACTTCTGCTGCACTTTTTTACCAGTCAGCTGGAGGCCAGTACTGATAGCACTGATTAGTTCATAGTGGTCCCTGCGTATACTGTTTTTTTAAGGTCAGACAAAATGATTGCAGATTGGTTTTCAACTGTTTTGGAGGAACTGAGGAGTAGAAACAATGGCTTCCTTTTCTTATTTTTCTTGTGTCAAATTTTAGATTGTAAGATCCTCAGAAGACAGGAACTGTCTTGAAATACTCTGTAAATTGATGGTGTTTACAGAAATAAGAATAGAAGTGACAAAATTCAAATGGATGTGTCTCCTCTAAATTTTATTCATGTAAAATCCTTCTGTATTATTTAAAAGTCTTGCACCAAAGCCTTTAATTAATGCTCTCATATTTATTTTACCATTATAATTTTCCATGTAGCTTACGGTATGGGAATACTATGTACACTAGTGTAAACTCTTCCAATAAAGTCAATCTTGATGTTCCTTCTGTTGTTATTTTAGGAGCACAGCTTTTTAGCAGCAGGAGTGAATTTCGAATCAGCGCCCTGACATTTCATCCTCTTGATCCAAATGTTTTTGTTTGTGGAGGATTCAGTCCAGAAGTTAAAGCCTGGGATATAAGGTCTTCTAAGGTAAAAATAAAATTGAAATCAAAATTATTTGTACTTGCTTGATAAGCATCCTGGAAAGAACAAAAGTATGTGGGTAGGTAATGATTTTATTCTGGAGAGGATAATTGGCATTTTCTGTTGAAATAGCATGGGAACATGATTTTTTTTCTATTATTTTTGCACTATGTTGTAAAAGCAAACAACTAAAATTCATGATACATTCTCTCTAAAACAAAAACTGGACAAAAAAGGAAAAAGTAGGAGCATGTTTGATAAGTCTATTTTGTATTTAATTTCATTGTTATTCTACTGCAGTGCATATTCTGGGAATTTGATATCTATTAAAAAAGTAATTTTCACCCATAGAAACTGCTTTATTAGTAAGGCATCATTTGCTGAAATAAGCAGCAATTTGTGATTTTTTAAACTGTCTGCTGTTTTTTTTTTCTGTTCACCTGCAAGAACCTTTAAATTTTTTTTATGGATTTCTAATGTTTGAATCTGGATCTACCATCATGAAGTTTGATATCAAAACACCACTGTTTATCTGAGAGAAAATTTGATTAAACACTGTGGGACATACTTCCAAGCAATCATGATATTGATGCACAGTTACAGAACATATAATGTCCAATTTACAGGAAGTACTGCACAGAAGAAGAATACTGATAATTAACTATTGTTTCATATGATAAAAGTAAGGGATTGCCTATAAAAGGAAACTGACTAATTAAGCAGTAATAGCAGTCTGTCATTGTAGTAAAGGGCAGTGATCAGGTTCCCCAGAGAATAGTCTAAGTCAATTGAATATGATGAAAGTTATTTTAAGAACTAACATTTGGTGCTTTAATATACATAGAGAGATTTATTTATTTATTTATTTATTTGATTGATTGATTGATTGATTGATTCCTATAGCTGCCCATCTCAACAATGAGCTGCCACCTCATTAGAAAGAACATGTCTGCTCTAAGCACATATTTTGAATATTCTGGCATTTCTGTCAGCTTTACTAAAATCCATGTTGCTACTCCCACAGGATTTTCTACCAATATTCAATTTGGAAGTTTCAAAACCGTCTTTGTATGACTTCTGAGTTGTTTCTCTACTAATAATATTTTTACATCCTATTTAAATTTAAATCTCTCTTGTTCCAATTTTTCACTTTTTATATTCTTACAGTATTTTTGATTTAAGGACCTCTGCATCAAAATATCTATGCTAATCTTTTTAACATTTCTGACATCATTATTTCCAGTCAGATTAATTCTAATGTTATGCAATTCATGTCACTTAGCAGGATATGTATGTTGAAACCCGGATCTCTGTGAAGACGTTGTAACATTTCTCTGAGATATTAGTAGTGAATAGGTAGGGAGATAAGAATAAGTTTTTAATTGCAAAACAGGTACCTGAATGGGAAATATAGAAACTGGTAGCTAAAATGTTAGTTAGTTTGGCCCAAGTGTGTCATGTAAACCAGTGGACTTTGTTTATGGTTCAGTTTAATTCAGTAAATCATTGTTCAGTTAACCATGGGTTATTGTTGGAACACAACAAATCTTTCTCTCCAAGCAGTTCTTCTCTTACCCAGTCAAACATTTTGATTGAAGAGACATGCCAGAAATGCTATGGAGATGGGTTGATTCTGCATTTATTAACCATATTCATCTTTCACTGTTATGGTGAGTTCTAAACCAGTTTTGCATTGGCTCCCTCTACGAACATCTCAAGTGTGTGTCAGTACACTGCATATAACTTCCAGTCTGTGGAATGCAGGCAACAGTATGTAGGCATCCAAGATAGCATCCTGATTAGAGCTCCTAGGTTGCATAGTATAGCATAACTAAGCTCAGGGTAAAACTGGGCTTTTATTGCACTTGTGTTATACTGGCCAAAATGTTCCCAAACTGATTGGTACTATGTTTGGGAAGCAAGGAATGCTGTATGTAGCATGGATACTTGCAAGACTGATGTCAGTCCCACTAGGTAGACCAGACCAAGAAATCAATTCCACAAGAAGGTTAAAACTACTTGCAAGTTTGATTGTGCTGTACTCCCTAGTCTTTCTTATAGTTCAGTGAATTAGGGAGGTGTCTGTCTGAGCTGCTTCTGAATATTATCAGTCTGTTGTGGATTTAAAATAGGTTTCACTCCCTGTTGCCTGGATGGATCTTTATCAAAATCATGCTCCTTACTTTCTATAAACTTGGACATCCCCTTGGTTTTCAGAGGGTCTCTGGGAGGTGAAGCAGCAGAAGTGATGCCTAGAGTGTAAGTGAAGGAGGACAAAACATAAATCTGACTGAGCATGGGTATGTACCCAGGTTTGGGTCTTCTCGTGTTGATAAGAGAAGCAAAGAGCTCCTGCTTCTCCTTCTTATTGCATCAATGGCTCTCGTCCAGCAGCTTTAAGGTGGCTAATTCCCTTCTGGGAGGGATCTAATTGCATTTGTAACCAGTTAGCACAGCATTTTGCTGATAAAGTTACTCAGATTTGCTCAAGTCTGGATTCCATTTGGGCAGGGTCTAGTATGGCGACTGGGACATCTTGCCAGGTTATCTGGGATTCGTTTTGACCTTTATCCTATCTACTTAACTGAGGAAATAAATAGGATGCTCTCGAGGATGTCCTCTGCTACATGTAGCCTAAACCCTTGTCCCTCATGGCTTCTTTGTGTGCCCAGAAAGGGGTTTATTCTCTGGATCTGGAAGATTATCAGTGCCTCCTTGTGGGAGGGAATGCTTCTGGCAGCTTTGAGGGAGGCTGTGGTACACTTTCTTCTTAAGAGTCCTTCTCTAGATTCAAGATTCCCTTTTTAGCAAAGATTGTTGAGACAGTGTAAAGGACTGTCAGTGCTTTGAACTTGGCAAGGTCAAGAAACAGAAGCAGCAGGGATTTCACAAATGCTCTTTATTTTTGTAGGGTAGAATAATAGAATCATGAACATCTGTTGGAATTCCTCCTTACCACATCTTATACTTTACAAAATCAAGATGTGGTTATTTTGAGCTTCTTTCTCAAGATTGAGTAACCTTTTCCCCTCCTTTAATGGCTTATTGCTCCCTTCCCAAGGCCAGTTCTTCATTCTTTCAGGGATCAACTGTAGAGTGACCTAGATGAAATGGCACCCTTATTAGTCAGGATTTAGGGTCGGGCTTTGGTCACTCTAGGGGACTATATTTGTTGAGATCTGGATAGGGGAGTAGTATGTCTGTCCTCGTCCTATTAAACCTATCAGTAGCTTTTGGTACCATTGACCATAGTATCCTTCTGGACTGGCTTTTGGGGCTGGGAATTGCGGGCACTGTTTTACGGTAGTTTCACTCCTTCCTTAGTGGCTGGATCCAGTCAGAAGTGGTAGGAGAAGAGAGATTGACTCAGTAGCTGCTACCAATAGAAAGAGAATATATGTAGTTCAGGGGTAAAATGTGGAGTCCTTGGGGTTCTCTGAGCTTGGTTGTTTTCTTGCAAACATTTCATTACCCAGCTAGATAACATCTTCAGTGCTAGAATGGAGTGGGGTTTGCTCTCTGTTTATATACAGTGGCATGCCTGTGTCAGGCCTAGCCCAAGGAACTCCAAGAGACACTGCAAATTCAGTCCAGTTATGTTTATTAGCTACAACCTCTAGCAAGAATCTTCCCAGACTGAAACCTCAGACCCCAAAGTCAGCCAGCCACAACAGTGTGAATTCCTCAGGGAGGTGCCAGTCTCATCCTCTTGTTCCTCCCACGCTTTTCTGGGGAGCTAAGAAAATGTTTATCTCCCTGAGCCTGGCCTTCATAATTCCATTCCATCACACCCTGCCAGTGTTGGTGTGTGAGTGTGTGTGTGTGTTTTCCCCTCTGGTAGTTCCCTTGGACTTAAGTCTGTCCAACACATACACATGCACACACATAGACACCCCAATACCCCAACACTGTCAGGGCATGCCACTGTATATAAACAGAGAGCAAACCCCACTCCATTCTAGCACTGAAGAGTAGCCGGGTAACGAAATGTTTGCAAGAAAACAACCAAGCTCAGAGAACCCCAAGGACTCCACATTTCAACTCAGAGGTACATATATTCTCTTCTATTGGTACCGCATGTGGGCGTCAAACCCTTCAGAAAGCACACACATAGGAGAAATTTGCATGCAGGCAAACCTCCATCAAGGAACAACTATGCTTTCTATACGAATGTCTACAACAGCATACCCTGCCCATCAGCGTCAGATACAAACCTCCAATAAACTGCACAGTTGGATGGAAAGTAGCACAACAAAGCGGCCGTAAAATGACTAATAATCATGGATGCACACCCCAGACTCAACAAATACTAGCATACCATAGACAACCTCAAGGAACAACTGGAACAAACCACGATCCCAGAGCACACAGATATACTGACAACCACCATCAAGACCACATCCTTAAGACAAGCTGGGAAAAGAAAAACAAAACTTCAAACTAAACTGCTCAAGCTAAACCCCAGAAACAAAGAGGTACCTGAACCCAAATGGATAGTCAACATGTCCAGCCAACCACTGTCCACTACAGAACACAATATCCTCCAGCAAGGCCTCAATTATAACATGGACAATGCTAATCAGCTAGAATTCTGTGCAGCCTTATAAGCAGCATTTAAAACCACAGGACTTAACACAGAGACCCAAGAAAACATAAGGCAGACAATCATACCACTGATAAAAAGAGCACAGAATCAGCACCAACTCAAAGCAGAGGACAGAGCAGCCCTCAGAAGCCTAAAGAAGGACCAAACCATCATCATCCTCCCAACAGACAAAGGCCGAACCACAGTTATCATGGATAAATAACAATACTTACAAAAAGCCAAAAAATTATTAGATGACAAAGAAACCTACGTCCCAGTTAACACCAACCCAATACAGAAACTGATCAAGAGAACCCTTAATGACCCAACCAAGGAAGGCATATCACAAAAGAAGAACAGTGGCAGATGAAAAGCAGTGGACCCATCCTCCCATGTTTCTATGGACGACCAAAAATACACA